ACGATGTTAGTCCCCGCTTTTTGAAAATTGTTAAAACACACTCAGACCTGAAAGTGGCACGTACAACAACATAATAAGGAAGTAAAGAATAAAATATCTCATTAATACGGTTGACCGTATAATTCTCTCAATTTGCCATTTCTCATTGATGCCGAGTGTTATACTGTGCGTTGGTGGTTTTCAATATTGATGGACTGGCAAGGATTATGACGACGACAGCATTTTTAAAGCTTTGACTTGTTTGAATTACCCCCCTCATAAGTCATTCACATTCATTCAAAATATGAAAAAGCAAAAACTTTGGAAAGCAACTGACTACAGAACAGGTGTACATCGATCAATATGCCTTTTATAAAATGCCTCTTATAGCAATGCCCCGAGCAATGCAGTAAAACGGTTGAAACTGGAAGCGTAATTGAATAAAGAAGCACAAAAAGTATTTAGCTTAGGTTAACTAATATAAACAAGCAACATTCTATCTACAATCAAGCTGTAATAAACATGTGCAATCTCTTAGCCCGGAAGGGGAGGGGTTAAGAGGATGTGAGCGACCAAACGTTTGTACAAAATCATGGCGTTTTTCTCAGTTATTTTCAAGTGATTTGGGGCCAAAATGTGACCTCTTCGATTTTGGATTAAAAAGCAAACCACCCCCTTGGCAAACCTGATATTAATAAGTAATAAGAAATCAAAACAATAGATACTTGGAAAGAAGTAGAACTTATCATCACCGCCAACAAAGAGAGCTACATTACTAATTATTATAAATATCTAAAAGATAACGCAAAGACCATAATTATGAACTTTCAAGTCGTATAACATGTAACTGTTGGCATAACATAACATATAAACGCCATGTAGTATAGCCCTGTAACGAAAGTTTTCAAAACAGCCTTCGTTAAGCTTTAATCAATCGGTCCTAACTTTGACCATTAATTTGAATTTTTGGCCTACCAGATGCTCGAAAATCAAGGATTGCGAGTCTCATACTGCACCGTTTTTCTTCAAACTTATACCATTAAAGCAAAACAAAATTGCCTTTCTGTCGGTGTATTACTTTATTGTAAAGAGTCCCTCGTTCTAGCAGCGTTTTGGTCCCCAGCTGTTCGAAGGCCTTCTTACACATGGGGACCAAAATGCCGCTAGAAGTAGGGACTCTGTTTAAGAAAATAGTGTACCAACAGAAAGGGATTTTTGTCATGCTTTAAATGGAACAAGTTTGAAGAAAAACGGTGCAGTATGAGACTCGTAATCCTTGATTTTCAATCATCCGATAGGCCAAAAATTCAAATTAACGGTCGAAGTTAACACCGCGTGTTAATGTCCTGTTTAAAAAACAATAGACGTTACCAAGTGGGGAGGGGGGGGGGTACGATGGGTGCGATAACCAATAATAGAACCATGAGATAGACGAAGAAAAAGGGTAAAATGTTTTTTTATTTTGAGCCTCTAGCTCAATTTTGAAAGAAGTTGCATCAATATTTGTAAAATTCAAAATAAATTTATCGGTCTGTTTTAGCCACAATGGTACCCCCCTGACTGATAACCGAAATTCGTTTGGGCGTCACCCCCCCCCCCCCCCCCCGACTGAAAGCTGGCATGATTGTGCCTTTTGAGATTCGATCAATGGTGCATCGACATAACATGGACTGGTGAAATACATGATGGTATCCCGATCATTGGAATGGTTAATGGTGTATTTGAAAAGTGCTCACAATGGTGAAAAGCTGCACGCTTTTGAAAGATCTAGAATTTTTGGCCGGGGGGGAGGGGCTTTCACCAACCCTTCCAAAGGGACACGATACATTTTTCGAGGGCTCAGAGGGCCAGAGGTTAATATCATGTTGTCACAGGGTATAAAACCATAGGCCATATTCAATTCCGATCATGATATTTCTAACTCTCTTCAATGAAATTTGAAGTTCGAAGTCCATATCTAAACTTTGTATGATGAAACAAAACCAGAAGTCTTATATCGTAAGTCTACAAAATATCCGATGACTTAAAATGACATTTTGAAATATAAAATTTTATTGAATAATATAAACACACCAGCATCAAAAAAATCAACGAAACAATATAACAGCGGCCAAACAAAATCGCTTGTTGCTCAGATATCTATGACTTTAACTGTGTCAGAGCATAATGATGAAATCACCATTCACATGTGTTTAATAGGCTCAAACAGAGCTTCATACTCCTTTCGTTTCAAAATCTCTTAATTTTCAAATGGGAGAAGAATTCAATTTTGTTAGCGAATATTGAGATGAATGCGATTTTTGTGAGAGGGATTGGTCAGGACAATGCGATTTTCTTTTCGGGCGATGGACGATGGGCGGTAAACACAATATCGCGTCTTCATTACGCAGCCCTTCTTTTAGATTGGCAATCGTGTGTTTTCATTTCGAAGCATATCAATATTTAAATCTAATTATTTCCTCAATTGCAATGCTAGATCTAGTAGTTCAGTTATTTGTGATATTTGACGAATTTATCTAAATCGCCAATCATAATCAGGCTTTGATTAGATAGGTGGCCGAAAAAGGGATCCTGTTACTAATTTTATGGAGGGGGGGGGTGTATGTAATATCGACCACCGTCCAAACAATTATTTCCTGCACTATTGGAGAAAGTACTCTTTAAAAAAGGGTTTCAAAAAACTATTTTGAATCATCGTTCTGTAATTGTGCAAAGGAGTTTTTGTTTTTAGCGTAACGTACACTGTATTTTAATTCTTGTTTGCTTAAAAAGATTAATTTCAATATGATTCGCAAGTATGATCACTGCATCAAATGTGGAATTTCTTGCAATTTCTAGACGTAGGATGGTCTAGAAACTCCACGTATCTACCGGGAGAGGCAACTTAAATGAATATGCTAATTGCGTCCATAGGCGAAGCAAGGGGGGGGGTGCAATAAAGATAAAACCATGAGAAAGAAAAAGCTCGATTTTGAAGAAATTTTTGTAAAATTCAAAATAAATCTTATTTTTTTGGCTTGTTCATGCAACAATCGCAACCCCGTGACTGAAAACCGAAAGGTTTTTGGCGATCGCACCCCCCCCCCCCCATCCTAAATGAAAGCTGGCTTCGCCCCTGCCCTATATCAATTAGTAATGATACATTGCATACACAATATGAACACATAGTTTTTTCATCCATTTGGTCAGACGAACAATAATAATACTATCCTAGTATCTTGCTTGATACCCGGGGTTTGATGTAACAACTTGATAGATGCCCGGGAAAACATATTTCTACTAGTTGTCAGTACAGCTTGTTTGGTATTTTACAAGCTTTAAACAGTACGTGATTTATTATTCAATCATATATGTAAAACGTCATGGTATACGTGAACAGTTCGTTATACAAAATAATAAATAAAATAGATAAAAGATAAAAAGAAATTAGTATATTTCAGTGAAAATATGTCTAAATTATGAATGTTGACCATAATTGCTTATAACAATATACATTCACCTGATTCGATAATTACTTAATTCTAGATTTCAATCATTAGTCTCAAGGCGTGCCAAGACTTTTTGTCACACTCTAAGCACGTCTTTGCACTGCGTGTGCTTAGACGTGCCTAGAGATGTCTAGAGTTGGTTTCATCGCGTACCTAGACGTGTCAAAACTAGTCACGCCTAAGCACCCGGCGTGCTTAGACTTAGTTTCTAGACGTGCTTAGTCTAGAAATTCCATTTTTCACGCAGTGAATAATACAATATTGTTTTGAAATAAAACAGGCAATATGAATTTAATTAGCAGCATTAAACTTTGCTAGATTCAAGTGATTAATGTAAAGACTCGCCCCAATGTCTGCAGTGTGGTCACATTGGCCCTCCTTATGACACATTTCGGCGTAAACATCAGTAATACAATATTGTTTTGAAATAAAACAGGGATGGGAATTAATTAGCAGCATTGAACTTTGCTAGATTTAAGTGATTCATGTAAAGACTCGCCCCAATGTCTGCAGTGTGGTCAAATTGTCCCTCTTTATGACACATTTCGGCGTAAACATCAATAATACAATATTGTTTAGAAATAAAACAGGCAATATAAATTTAATTAGCAGCATTGAACTTTGCAACATTAAAGTGATTGCTGACTCGGCCCAATGTCTCATGCAGTGTGGTCAAATTGTCCCTCTTTATGACACATTCCAGCGTAAACATCAATAATACAATATTGTTTAGAAATAAAACAGGCAATATAAATTTAATTAGCAGCATTGAACTTTGCTACATTAAAGTGATTAATGACTCGCCCCAATGTCTGCAGTGTGGTCAAATTGTCCCTCTCTATGACACATTTCGGCGTAAACATCAATGTTATTATAAGTATAGGGGTAAAGTTATGATAGTCGGAACTTGAATTTTGGGGCATTTCTTAGTGCTAACTTTGATAACGTGATTATGATGATCATTTAATCCAAATTTTAGATACGATTTTTATTTTCCTATCCTCCGATTTTTCAATTTCACTAATTCGATTTACACGCCATTGGTTGGTGGTTTGAAATCTACTAAATCAAGCACTTAGCTATTGCCTAATTGAATTACTGATTCGCATCTAGAAATATGAATTGTAACGACAAAAATCAAGTTGAATTATCAAATTCCGCGTTCACTTGATTTCTTTTAGTTATCGCTATACCAACTATCATTAGAAGAAAGAAAATCGTTGACCCTGATTTTTGTTTTATTTGAACTATATCTGATTATTCTTTAGGGAAACAGCATTTTTGGTACAAAGAATTATTTTATAAAAAAGAACAATTCGTCTTAAAATGTCAAAGAATTACGCCCCAAACATTATTGATATCAGACAAGTGGTTTTCAACCCCCTCTCCTCCCATTTTGTCTCATAAAAAACAAGTAAAATTGAGAGTAAAAACATTTAGTTGTTACATCATGAGTCCACTCATTTAAGTTTAATATGTACAATCAATAACAATGGCTGTGTTTCCTCATTGTAATATCACCATTACATCTAGGTTGCCGATGGAGTGATTGGAGCCAATGGGATAATGGCCCTTGCACACTGCCCTGTGGTGGAGGAACCTCCACTAGTACCAGACGAAGGACTAAACAGCTAAATGTCATTGGTGGGGCACTTACCTGCCCAGGATCGGATTTTGAAATGCGGACATCGCCATGCAACACCAATCAATGTAAGTTAAAAATTGAACATCATGACCAGTCTTCACTCCAAAATCTCTACAAGGCTTATTTCATATTACCCCTATTTCTCTATAATTAATAATTGACATAGTTGTCACACCAATACCGAGATCGTGGACGCGCATAAACTTAGTGATATCATTTTCTTAATTGTTTTAAATACTACATAATTCATGAAAAGTTAGGTAAGCTTGCCTGAACCATTAAGACATAATGTGCCTACTACATTTAAGATTACCAGATTGCTGAAAACGCACCCTGTCTACACATTAATGCCAAGGGAAATTTTAAGGATCAAAAGTTGTAGTTGAACGATAAAGCAAACTCTAAGTGTATACACGTTATTTAAGAAAAACAATCCCCAAGTATAGTTTGTTTTCTTGATTTTTAACTTGTTTTTCTTGTGGTATACACTTAGAACTTGCATTTTCTCGCATTTTTCAATTACAGCTTTTGGTCCTTTCCTTTTGACACTTGTGCTTTGATATTTGTACTCAATATATCCTGCGTATATAGTTCCCAAAACTTTACGTAGCGTGTATAAGAATGTGATGTAGATTGGATGTATTGAATAATGTAAAAAATATGGGGAAACATTAGGTATCAACTACTATCTCTTCGTTTGATTAGGCTGTCAATGGTCCATGTGGGGTTCTTGGTTACGTAGAGAGGGATGTTCGGTAACATGCGGAGGTGGCAATATAAATGTTTACCGAACGAGAACAAAGACGTTCGGCACCGTCGGGAGCTCACCATTTTGTACAGGGGTTTCGGAGGAACGAAGTACAGAACGATGTAATATTCAAGGATGTCGAAGTAAGTGAATCAAAAAAGCCATTCATACGTAAAAATGGACGACACATATAATTTCAATTATGATAAATGATTATTCAACACGTATTTAACAAGACCAATCCGGAAAGTGTATTATCTTTTATGGTACTGTAACGACCCTTGGGCACGTCCAACGAGGAGCTGTAGTACAACGAGCCAGCAACTAGACCCGAAAGGGAGTGTGCTAAATTTCAGGGCCCTCCGCTCTCGAGTCAGACGCTCTACCGATTGAGCTAAAGGGAGCTTAAGCCACCACAGCCGAGACAGTAGTAGCGACTTACTATCGAAGGTCGTTACAGTACACATTGTTTATTGATCTTTAAATGTAATGTTGGGTGTGATGAGGACGATCATTATGCGCTATTTTTTATTATAGCCTGTTTGTGGTCGAACTGGGGACAGTGGGTCCCTGGTCTATGTTCTGTAACATGTGGGTCTGGTACTATGACTCAAACACGAACAAGGAACAAAAGATGGGGTACAGACCCCGAAGGGTCACCAGTTTGTCTTGGCAGTGCTACCGCTACAACTGTTGTATCGTGTAAAATGGCTTCATGCACAGGTATAGAATAATGCGTGACTATTTTTGCAACAAAACTGAAGCAATACGAAATTGATAAGTTGTGTATCTCCACTAGGTTTAAATGATTAAAAACTCACTTTAACACTTAATTTACAGCACTAGTTAACACTATTATGTATAGGGCCTCGATGGACTGATTGGACGCAATTGGACTCTGCTATGTTCAACGAGGCGTATAGCCTTTTTATTTTTTCGTGAAGCCACTCGGTACGATTACGATTGCTCTGAACCTGATGTCCAATCAAGATCATTCAAGTATCTATGTGTTTCTGACACGTTTGGGCGTCCGGGAATAACAACGTCTACAAAAAGTTTGCACGTAAAATTGACGTAATTCATGACTGAAATCGGGAAGACAAAATTTGAGATTCACAAACAAAATTGCTTGTGAAAACTATTTACCTAAGTGTTCTTGAGACTCTAATCTACGTGGCTCGGGTTTTATTTGAAGAATCGTTGCCTTATTAAGCAGATTGAGGGGCATACAGAACACGAAAGCAAATTTCAGTTTGAACATGTTATTACTTGTCACGTTTTATTGGGATTATATGTACTTTACTTGTTTACATGAACGTAAATCATTACATGAAATCTGCAGTCTTCTTCTGCAGTCTGCAGGTTTCATCTGGGTTTGTATTGTCTTATTGGGGCTTTTCGACTTTTAAACAAACCTTACTTATAAATGGATTTGTGTCTCGGTAACACTTTTGTAAATAGTATAAACAATTCTGAAAGAATATCACATATTTTTGTCTTCCCGATTTCAGTCATGCATTACGTCAATTTTACGTGCAAACATTGGATAGACGTTGTCTTTTTCGGATGCCCAAATGTGTCAGGAACACATAGATACTCGAATGATGTTGATTGGAAATCAGGGTGCAGAGAAATCGTACGGAATGAAAGAATGTTGAACAAAATTCAATGGTGCCAAATATGACTTCAATCCCATACCGGATGACTGAGTTATTAAGATTTGTTTGGTTTACCTTTTTTCCTCAACCTGTACTTTGTATGTAATATCTAAATAGTTTCAATTCCCTGTAATATGTGACTAGCCTCTCAGACTCCACATGAACCCTGAGGTTATTCTATGTGTCTTGCCAATTGCCTGACGTGTATATTTCTTTAGACTAAAAAAACGTAATATGTAGCCTTTCGAATATAGGTCGTGGTATCTGGGAACCGTGGGGACCCTTGACATGCCAACAAATCTTGGGTTTTACTAAACATTTTTCCATTTAAGGCAAAATATGTAATTTATTATACCTTGCGAATATAGGTTGCGGTATCTGGGAACCATGGGGACCCTGGATATGCCAACAAGACTTGGGTTTAGGTAAACGCACCGGGATAACAGGAGGGATGCAAGGAGGATGCAGGATACCAGGAAGGCTCGTTCGAACAAGGATATGTCCAATATGCCCAGTAGGCCGAAGTGTTGATGATGAACATAATGACCGTCGAAAAAGACACGGTCTCGGTTTTTGTGGAGGAGTATCGATTGAAAGAGGTGCCGCGTGCTGTGTCCTATAACTCACCATACTGACTTGATGACGAATTATCAAATTCCTAACTTCAAATATCATAAGTTGATGAACAGTTACGAACCTCACTCAAACTTAATAATACATTTCGCTGTAATCTCTGACAATGGAAATAAATTAATATTTTTGATTCAAAATTTAGTGTTTTGTTGTTTTTTTAATATGCAAATGTAGGATATGTTGGGAGCCGATTTATCTTAAAAAATAGCAGATACCATGTATACAATCTATAAAAGGACCTAACTATACACTTTGACCAATTGTCTTGTTCTCTAACCATATACTAGATTAGTCTAGTCATGTACAGTATACACATTGGATCAAAAACGCCCAAATTTATTTTTTGTTTTACCTTTTTGAAATGCACCTTGATTCTTCTGCATAAAATATGAAATTGAAGTAGTGGTCGTCTGGTATTAACCTAGCTTGTATTCGCAAATGCAACTAACGCCTATCGGCTATCGGATTAACCTATTATTTTATGGGTAACTCATATAAATATCTTAGCCTATGATAAATATGAATAGTACCTGCCACTATGCCATTCATATCTAAATGAGTTGGTCATAAAATAGTAGCTTAATCCGGTAGCCGACAGGCGTTAGTTGCATTCGCGAATGCAAGTCTAGTCTCGGGGTAGTGCATCTATGAAACGTATGGTCTTGGGTAAGATTCCCGCATGGGCCATTGAATTAGTACACTCCCTTTCAGTTCTGACTGGCGCCTCGGGTCGTTACAGTACCATTGCATAAAACCACGTGTGGTAAGCAATTATCAACAATACTAACTCGACATCCTCACCTCTAATACCCAACACTTTGCAGTGCAAATTAATGATCAAAAATGCCTGAATATTGCGATCTGCATTTCGCCAAAAATTAGTGATTTTAAAGCAATGGTTTTATTAAAATAGCGATTATCATTTAATTCATTACGTCATCCTGGATATTAAAAAAATGGTTAGAGTTATTGCTAAAGTCTGCTATAGCGTAGCGAAATTGGTAGAATTGGGAATGATGTCTCTTATTGGTTTGTTTGTTGACTAAACAATTCACAATTCCCACTGTTAGATATCGAGTAAAAGCGACTTCATTTTCAGAGGTAGAATAATCAAATAAGTAATCATTACTTCCGTATGCAACACTGAACTCTAGGTGGCGCTTCTGTCGATATGATCTAGGAAGTTTAGTCTCACTACTCCTAGACAGGAGGCCGCCCAAAATTGGACAAAACAGATTCCATATTAACAGTAGGAATTCTTTAATTTTCAGGTTACCTTTCCTCGGTCACATTTGCTCTACGGCGAAAATCTAAATCGTAATGCGTATCCCCATATTCTCTCGATTTGGGAAGGTACATGTACGGCCACCACATGGTTGCCATAGATCAAATATGACTCAGACATTAGAATGAACGTACTACCATTGAGCTGGTTGATTTTTTTCTTCTATACATACTTCACATGTATTTCTACAATACATGTATAAATCAACATGTGTACAAATTGCCATTGATTGGTTGGTCCACATATTACATATCAACGCGCGCAAATTTACGAATTGAGCTTGTCATATGACCATATAGGATATTTAACACCCGGGATAAATGTCTTAACGGGCACAATTTATAGTTTTAACCCCAATAATTTGCGCCTGCATAGTTCAGATCACGGGCGTAATTTTACGTCTGCACGAGCGTAATTAACGCCTACACACCCGTAAACAACACGTGCATACGATATGCACGAGCGTAATTTTACGTCTGCACGAGCGTAACATGTCCATACTTTGGTAAGGTTGGCAAACCATACTGAATGGGATTTTCGATTACAAACTTCGCTCCCTCACTTTGCATCTTTGAGCAAGTTAAACTTCCGGTCCCTCTGCACGTGTTGTTCAATCTCTGATGAGACAGTTGCATTTCATATATTAAGGAGATTTCCCAAACCTGGAAGATACCACCGTCACCTTCGATGGCTATGATAAACTGGAATAATTTCTCTGATGTTGTCTCCCTGTCGTTCACCATTCTGATACGAAGTGATTATTTTTTTATTTTCAGATTATTTCCTGGCCCCATGTTCTTAAGTTCACATATGGTTATTCACGCACACGTTTTTGAAAAAAACAGTAACATCCAAAGTTTTTTAATTCGCTCTTGTTGTACATTGACATTGAAATAATGCCACAAATTCAAAAGCCCTGGTGCAGTCCCTATCCTTTGGTGAAACTTGATAATAAAATATGGAATGTTGAGCAGAATATTCGACACATTTATGATATATATATTGTGTATAAAGTGTACACATATATGGACATGAAACACTCTTTGATATATGTATTTTGGAGTATTCGCGCAAAATGCATTTATTCAAGTAACCTTGAACAATACAAGCGTATTTGTAATTTACTAGATTTGTCAGAGGTGTGTATACACTTGACTAAATATTCATATTTTTTATTATACTTATTACAAAGAACTGTGAAACCATACTTCATTGCTTTATTAGTTTTTTGTCAATTCATATCGGTTGCTTTGAATGCAACATGTGATAGAGTGTGTCGTTATATGTATACACGCAAATCATATCCGCAATTATCAATTTATCAAATGTCTTTATGAATTAATGGGGTCCATACACAATTTGCTTATATGATATGACGCTGGATCAGTTTTCATCACTCGCATGATGATGCGACCAGACGCCTACTTCCTGTTGGTCTTCTTTGCTGTGGTACTCACGGGTAAGTCACTTTTAGGACAATAGAGGATTTTTGTTATACAATATTGGCTCACTATAAATCAGGGGGATATCAGGCATCATACATCAGGGGAATAACCCCAGAGTTAAAAGAAGACAAATATCTATCATGTAAAGCTTATTGAGGTGACAAATCGTCCTGATTGGCCAAATCAACAGATAGACACACAATAGACACACAATGGCGGTTTCAACATTTTCGAAAAACTCTAAATAATATTATGTTAATTTCTGGCGCTTTGATGAATATCATAGCTTGATATTTAGGATCGAGATAAAGAAAGGTGTAATGAATATGCTAACATCGATAAAAACATCACAGCGACGTATATTTTCGAAATCTAACTGGTGAGAATTTGCACAAAACGAAGGTGTTACGTAAGAGACGTAATTATTTCAGTTAACTCTTAAGCTCTGGGGCTTTCCCCCTTTTACTCATACGTATAGCTTTTGTATAATACGCCATCACACCTTGCGCTCCCTATTTGTAAGACTATACATTTTTAACGGATAAAATAGCCGCTATTGGTGTGATAACGTATTACACAAACGCTATACGCATGCGTAAAAGGAATCTTGTGAGTGACCCAATTACGTATGGCGAAAAGTCTCTAATATCGATTCCAATAGTTCTTATTAGACCGAAGCACCAAGCCCCATGCTTTGTTTGTAAAATATATAATAATTTGATTGTTGCTTCTTTAAACCGACATCGAAGGTCAAGGTTTCTCGAGTGATATAAAGCTCAAACAAAGCATTTCATCCAATGCTTAAATGGTAAAACAGCAGTTTTATAAAACAACCACACGATCTAGGATTTGTGATGTTTCAGTATCGTTATATATTAAATATGATATACAAATAGGTCCAATCATTCGCAATTTCAAATAGGCCTGTTGTGTACAAGGTTTTTGAACAAAACAAGGTTTACATTTTATTCCCATGTACGGGTAAAAATATTTGGACATAGTTTTTCCTTCAATACCCTGCCAGTGGTTTGTTCAAGTTCACACGATCTACTATTTGTGATATTTTAATATATTAATATGTTATATAGATAGGTCCAATCATTAGCAGTTTCAAATAGGCCTATTTTATGCAAGGTATTTTGACAAAACATGATGTACATTTATTCCCGTGTTCAGGACAAAAATATTTGAACATAATTTTCTTTAAATAACCCTGGTTTGTACAAGGTAAAAAATATTTAGACATAGTTTTCCTAAAAATACCTTGGTTTGTTCAAGTTCCCACGATCTACGATTTTTGATGTTTTAGTATCGTGTCAAAGGAGAAGAGGAAACACGTACGAGCCATGCGTGAAATTATGCAATGAGTATAACTTGGTCGGCTGCAATAAAAGTTGTCAAACGAAGAAGGTAGGTCCAGATTGTATTTATATATTTTTAACAAATCATAAAGGATTGGCAACTATATGGTGAACTACAGGGTGTCCCGAAAGTATGCCCCCCCCCTAGGCAGACATATTCCAGTGTCCTCATAGTATGTGTCATATATCATTTTAAAGCTTATCCAAAGTTACATTGATTTGCCAAGTATCATGGTTTAACTCCCAAATGGGAAAAAGTTACAGTCATTTTAAAAGTTAGTGTTTTGTCAAAATGAAGTTCAATTTTACACCACATTACTAGTCAATGTGTCCCCCCTCGGCCATGTTAACAGCAGCTATTGTTTTCAGATATGACCTTAAAAGTCCTTCAAATAGGGATGTGGAATTTTATAACCCTCTAAAAACCTGTCAAGGGACTTAAGAAGAGTTTCCTTAGAGTTTCTACCCCCACCGTTCTCTTTTTCCAACTCAATATCCCTCCGACCCGATAAGAATTGCTGCTGTTAAGATGGCCCGGGAGGACACATTGACTCGTGATTTGGTGTAAAATTGAACTTAATTTTGACCAAACACTAAATTTTGAAATGCCTGTAATTTTTTCACATTTGAGAGTTGACCCATGATACTTGGCGAATCAATGTAACTTTTGATAAGCTTTAAAATGATATATGACACATACTATGACGACACTGGTATATGTCTGCCTAAGGGGGGCCCCATACTTTCGGGACACCCTGTAAACTGAACATATTTCTCTCCATGAACTAGTTATAAAGTTATTCAGAAAAAAGTACACGCCGTCAATGTAATTATCATCTTTTGAAAGTTAATACTTTAATTTTAAAATATTTGTCTTGTTTTTACAGGGTGGACCAATAAAAATTGGAACATTTTCGCTTATTCGATTGTCTTTATTATTGCAGTTTAGTCCACAAAAATTCAGATAATGGTAAAATGATTATTTGTGAAAAATGTTAAAGATAAAAATATGTATGTATGAATATTTTTGGCTTGTCACGGTCATG